CCAGATATGTGTCACAAAGATGTCTACACGGAACTGCCAAGGAATGGACTCAGTAATCAAACCCCTGGACACAATTCCTGAGGACAAAAAAGTCAGAGTTCAGAGAACACAGAGCAGTTTTGATCCATTTGAGAAACCAACTAATCAAGTAAAGAGAGTTCATTCAGAGAACAATGCGTGTATTAACTTCAAAACTACATCAACGGGGAAAGAATCTCCTAAAGTCAGACGGCATTCCAGTCCCAGCTCTGTAAGTCTACCCTCCCATTATCATCTGTACAAATACCAGTTTCTGATACTAATATACCAAATACTTAAATGAATGACTGTAGAAATCAACACTTTTGAAAGTCTTTTTTTCCTGGTATTAAACATAATGCCAAAAACATTGTTTAAAAAAACCCCAACATTACATTTAATTAGTCATACCGTTTGGCATTTTCCAGCTAGTTGTTAATTCTACTCATAATTTTCCTGATCATTTTCACTTTTGGGTTTGTGTGTGCTACTGCAATGCTGAAACATGTAGCTTGTTCTTGTTTTCAGTGGAACTTTAAAATACAACATAGAAACATTTTCTCATAGGTTTAGATTTTATAAGAGTTTATTTTAATGAGACCTAAATCTTGAATCAATTTACAGTATTATATTTAATTTAAAATAAAAGCACATTTTAAAATGGATAAAAGTGAAAAAGAATGCTATTTTGCAAAACAACCATGAGTCATGTGTGAAGAAAGAATGACAAGGGGTTATGTTATCATATTAGTTTCTCTGTCCAGTCAAATGTAATACTTCAAGAGAAGCTAGGTAAACAAAATATCATATCTTTTATGAATTATGCCCAGATAGATGTACCACAGGAGACCTTTACAAATTATTGAAAAATTACGTTTTCTTTTTTGCTGTAGGAAGATAAATCAATAGTAATGTTACCTTTGAGAGAGAGAGAGAGATTATAAATTGAAGAAGAATGCTAAACATTTTGAAATTTGGGCAGGAATATAATTTGAAATGTTGATTGCCTTTCTGCTCTATCCTCTGGATAAAACAGTGGTTTGAACAAATTCTCACTTTCTAAGAAAAAATATCAGAAATTTCTCTTCTGTAGCTGAGCTTTGGTTAACTTGTATACTTAGGAGATAAAAAGTTGTGTCTCTAGGGGACTGTTCTTTTAAGGAAGGGTGACATTTTGAAAGGAGCTATCCATAGCAAAAATAAATTTGCTTTTCTGTCAAAGTATCATGTTCTACAGCTACTGCCACAGATGTCTCCTGTATGTTCCAAGTCAGTCAGTAACAAGGTGTTTTTCAGATTGAGCATTTAGCAGCTAAAACAATAACTACTATATCTATTATTTGTTTAAAAATTTCAGAGAAGAATATGGTGCTTACTATTCCTTCTTATTTTCCATTCCTTTTTAATAGTATTTTAAGGTGGTTCTGTGCAGGTTTCTCACTGCCTGAACTACATTCAGCATTCTAGCCTGAATGCTTGAAGAGTAATATATACCAGAAATGTAAAATATCTATCAGATAAAGCAAAATATAAACAATAACCTAATCTCAGCTAAATGCCCAGTCTGTCTCTCATTGAGGTCAATTATTCAATTACTACTTCAGTACAGGCACCGTTCTGCTATAAGTAACTGCAAAACTAAATATTCTTTTTAGAGCTCTCCAGAGAGGAGTGCGTGTGTTGGTGTTTGGGGGAAGGGGAAGGGAAAGAGTGGTCTTTCCAACTCCAAACACCACTCCAGACTCTGAATACCACTTCAAGGCCATCTCTGTGGGAAAATCACCTTGCTGTTGCTGTGTAGTTTTTAACTAATAACAGTTTAATTTGCCAGTGATCTGTTGGGCCTCTAAGTCCATCTCCCTTCTGATGCAGGATTGTTCTGTGTTCTGACCACTATTTTTAAAAGTCCCAAGCAATAGGGCTTGCACCATTTTTCTGTGGAAATTAAACACCAGTCCAACCACACACAGTGCTGGAAAACTACCATAACACCAATCAACACTTTCTTTTTCGGGCATTGCTTTTTTCTCTCTACTTTTCTACTGGTTATGGCACTGTATATTTGCAACTTTCAAATAGTGGAGAGCTTCTCTGTGTTTTCCCACTTTCTCTTAGGTATTTTTTAAATCATTGACTTCTTGTTCTTTAAAGTTCTGTCAGTCCATCCTTACCTTTTTTGTTAATAAAATGACCATAATTAATATTCCAGAAACCTTGTAATCATTATTAGGAGCCTACCCAACTCGAAGAGGTAGGCAGCTGATTTTGTGGGCAAATAACTGGGCTGGTTGCCATTTTTGCGGGCTGATCAAAGGGGGCCCCCTCCCACACCTCTGATTGATGGAGAAGGCTGTCTGTCATGCAACCCTGCCCCTTGCTGCTGATTGGTGAAGAGGGCTGGGGCCACACGACAGGCCTCTCAGTCAGTCATCGGCAAGGGGCGGGGGCTGCAGTCATCTTGCCTGCTCTCCTTTGTGCTGGCAGCCCCCCTCCCTCTTTCCCCTTGATGGGCTGTGCAGCCAGTATGACTGCTGCCTTCTACTAAGGAACAAGCATTTTATTTTTAGCAAGTTTTTTGTGGGGGCAGATTTCATGGACATTTCCCAATTCTGCAATATCTGCAAAATTGCAATTTGAGTAGGTCCCTAATCATTATCTCTGCACACGTCAGAGTGGGAGCGGCTTTCTTTTTTCTTCCTGCTCTTCTGTTGCATATAATTTGTTCTTCACCGTCAACCTTGGGTCCTTTTCATCAGTACTGTTTTCCAGGTTTCTCCTGCCCATTGATTTGAATTTGACATGTTTTTACAACTGTATCAGATGGCCTTTTTTCAAAGTTCTGATGTATTTATTGTAGATCCCTTTATAGTAGTTCTACACACATTGTTTTTCTCCAGACAGCCTTATTTTAGCATGTGATCATGTTTCTCAAGCATTGAGACATTTTCTATGTGTAGTTCCATTTGCAGGCTCTTTCTGCTGCCTGTTTGTTCAAATTTATGTTCTTTATTTCCTTGCTTTAAATCAAGCTTAAACAAGGAGCTCTACTTATTTAAAAAATAATATGTGCAGTATTTCACTGTGTCTCTTCATTAATTTTATACCTATTCCAATTTAGTGTGTGGGACCATTTCTTGGTTGTGCTTCCTTTCTTAGGTTACACGTAGAAAAGCCTGTTCCCTAACTTTTGATTGAAATTAACTCAGTCTCCTTCTCCATTGTTCACGTTTGCACTAGCAGACCATTAGCTGGTGCCTCTCACTCTTCCCTATTTACAGTGAAATATATGTTGGTTTCAGACTTTTCAGGAGCCTTTTAATGAAACTGTATTGATGACTATATGTTCTTTTAAACTCCAGCATCTTTTATTTGGCCTCTCCTAGGATTCCCATCTCTTGGTTGATTGACTGATTTTTCTATTGGTTATAGTTTGATTTTAATACTTTCTCCACATATAGTTTCCTGGATTAAAGTTTTAACTAGTAAACATACATGTGCTCTTAGCCTCACACACACATACAATTCCACTAACTTAATTGGGATTTCCTTATGCTTATGTTTAACTTTTTGCCTAGAGACTTGCAGAATCAGTCATTGCAAAAGTTTGACATGGGTTTGATTCTCTTGTTACTTAGCACACATTTGTGGGGCAAATCCCTGGGAACTTAACATTCTGTGTTTTGAATTTGTGGCTGAGTTGATCCAGCTTTCTTTTTTCATAGATTTCATTCACATTAGGGCCAGAAGGGACCTCAGAAGATCATTGAGTCCAGCCCCCCACCCGAAGGGCAGGAAGTCAGTTGGGGTCATAGGATCCCAGCAAGATAAGCATCCGATGTACTCTTGAAGGTGTTCAAGGTAGGTGCTTGAACCATCTCCGATGGCAGGCTGTTTCAGACCTTGGGGGCTCAGACAGTAAAGAAATTCTTCCTTATGTCCAGCCTGAAACGGTCTTGCAGTAGTTTATAACCATTCGACCTCATCATCCCTTGGGGTGCTTTGGTGAACAAATGTTCCCCCAGATCCTGGTGGTCACCCCTGATAAACTTATAGGTGGCCA